GAGATAATCAAATTAATTCTGCATGTGAACTGAAAAAAAGATTTAGAAGGAAATTGCCTAAGAGACTATGAAATTCCCTCCTCGTGCATCCTAGTCTGGTGCCTTGAAAAGGCCATCTATAAAAGGTGCCTCCACTTACTTTCCTTTCACTTTCTTCTTAACTCTCTACGGCTGGCTTCTTATCTCATCGATTATCTGAACTTTACTCTCCAAAGTTACCAATGATTCTTAATTGTCAAATCTAATGGCCTTTTCTCCATCCTCATTCTTCTTTACCTCTTAGAAGTCTTTCACACTGTCAGTCACCCTAATCTCCTTGGTATTCTGTTTTCACTGTATTTTCATGATACTGTTCTCTCCTGCTTCTCTTCTTGTCTATCTACTTTTGTCTCCTTTACCTGGAACTTTGTCCAAGTTATTCCTGCTATTTTCTCCTTCTATACTGTTTTACTTGGTGATCTTATCAGCTTCCATGCATTCAATCATCATCTTTATGTTGATGATTCTCAAATCTGCTTATCCCTAACCTCTCTGCTGAACAGTCTTGCATCTCCAATTGCCTATTGGACATCTCAAATTCGATGTCCCATAGACATCTTAAACTCAGCACGTCCAAAACTGAACTCATGATCTTTCCCCCAAAATCCTTCCCTATTATTGTTGAGGGTACTTGAGTCATCCAAGCTCATAACCTAGGTGTCATCCTCGACTCTTCACTGTCTTTCTCACTCCCGATATCCAATCTGTTGTCAAGTTCTGTCAATTTTACCTAAGTAACATCTCCTCTACACACTCTTTTCTCTTTCTTTAACATTGCTACCATCCTGATGCAGGTCCTCATCACTTCACACCTGGACTATTGCAATAGCTTCCTGGTTGGCCTCCCTTCCACAAATGCCTCCCCACTTCAGTCCATCCTCCACTCAACTGTCAAAGTGATCTTCCTAGGTTTGATCATGTCACTCCCTTACTCAATAAAATCTGGTGGCTTCCTGTCATCTCTAGAATCAAATATTAAATCCTCTATTTGGCATTCAAAGCCATTTATAACCTGCCTCTTCCCCTACCTTTTCACCTTTTCAGTCTTCTTCCACCTTATACCCTTCCATGTACCCTGCAATCCAGTGAAATTGGCCTCCTTAATGTTCCTAGAACAAGATGCTCTATTTCCAGACTGAGCATTTTCACTGACCTATGCCTAAAAGCTCTTTTTCCTCATATCTGCCTCCTAGCTTCCTTCAAGTCCCAGCTAAAATTCCACTTTCTACAGGAAGACTTTCCCAATGTCCCTATATTCTAGTGCCTTCCCCCTTATATCTCCAATGTATCCTGTAAATACTTTGTTTTAACATAGGTTATTTTTTGTTTGTTTTTACAGTGCATGTTGCCTCTTTTATTAGACTGTGAGCTCTTTGAGAGTGGGAACTGTCTTTTGCCTTTCTTCATATTCTCAGTTCTTGGCACAGTGTAGGTGCTTAGCACATAGTAGGTGCTTAATGTTTATTCAGCCTCAAACACTTACCAGCTGTGTGTAAATCACTTAATCCTGAATGCCTCAAAAAAAGTTTATTAGCTGACTTGTTTTATCCCCTAATTCATAATACCTTTTTTTTTTTTACTGATTTTAAAAACAATGATAATATCTCAATTATTGGGGCAGGGCATGAACTCATCTCTCATTATAGCTGTTTTAGGTTCCCTGGAGAGGTATAACTAAGTTTCAATTATCTTTAGCCTTGGAATTCATACCTATAATTTAAAAACACTGTTCTTGGGGCAGCTAGGTGGCACAGTGGATAGAGCTCTGGCCTTGGAGTCAGGAGTACGTGAGTTCAAATCCAGTCTCAGACACATGTCACTAGCTGTGTGACCCTGGGCAAGTCACTTAACCCCGATTTCCTCACCAAAAAGCAAAAAAACAAAAACAAAAACAAAAACACTGTTCTTGTGGAGAATATGGAGAGATATGGATGTGATAGTATAGTCTGATGGATTCATACCTGCTTATATGGTTGCACTCAAAGAGTTACTATGGGTCTATGTGGCAAGTTTCCAATTGAGTACCTGAAGGATCTGTGCTTGGTCCCATGCTATTTAACATTTATATCAATGATTTGGATAAAGTCATTGATGAGTCATTATGCTTATTAAATTTGCAGATGCTACAAACCTGGGAATAATAGGGAATTCGCTGGATGACAAGAATCAGGATCCAAAAGGATCCTGACAAGCTAAAGCATTGGGCTGAATTTAATTGGATGGGATTCAATAGGGACACTTATACTTTAATACAAAAAAATCTCTGTCACAAGTGTAAGACAGGGGAGGTATGAATAGACAGTAGTTATTCTAAAAAAAGACCTGTGGGTTGTAGTGGGTTGCAAGCTCAATGTATAATGTATACAGCAGTATAATGCAGTAGTCAAGCTAATGTAATCTTGGACTAAGTCAAGAGAGGCATAACATCTACAAGTAGGGAGGTGATAATACCACTACACTCTATTCTTTTCAGACCTTATATGCACTTTGTGTTCAGTTCCGGGCACCACAATTTAAGGACAATAATAAATTACAGAGTATTAAGAGGAGAAATATGAGGCTGCTGAAGGATCTTTAGTCCATAACATGAGGATCAGTTAAAGGAAATAAGAATGTTTGCTTGGAGAAAAGAAAGTATGTATGATAGCTACTTCAAGTATTTAAAGGACTCTACTGTGGAAGAACTCTAAAGAATTCTAGGGGTATTCTAAGGGTTTGGAGTGTCCCTACTCTAAGGCTATCAGCTTGAACACACAATGAAGGGGTATGGGGTATGGGCCCAAGTCAAGACCTTTGCCTTATACCACAAAGAATTTGGGTCCCATTTGTCTGTGGGATTCTCCTTGAATTCTCCCACTTGATCAAGGAGGTCTCTGGAGCTCCCCCTGAGGCTATAATCCTATCAACTAGCCTTTCATTATTGCCTACACCCAATCTCCCAGTTCTCTGTTACCCTAAACCTAGCCCAGCCCTCCATTATCTATTACCTCCCTATGGCCCCAGCTACTTTCCACCCTTGAACCTATCTAGACCCCATTCTCCACCTCCCAGTTACTCCCATAAAGATCTTTCCTAGATCCCTCCTACAATCTTTCTGTCTAAAAGGTCCATCTTGTCTCCATTAAGGTGCTCAGATTTCTTAAGAACCTAGCCAATAGCTCATAAATGTTCAGATTCCTTAAGAGTCTGGCCAATATGGTGGATCTTTAATAAATCTTGTCCTTGGCTGACAGAAGGCTTGGGTCGAATTCATTCAGACAGGACCCACATGTTGTGATTTAGGGGTCCCAGCACCCCTAAACCTCTAGACCTCAACATCAATAAGTGTGACATGGTCTAATGCTGCTCCACATGTACAGGCAAAAATCACAATTGTCCCCAAATAAAAAGTTACGTAGATTCAACAAGAACATTTCAGAAAATTTACCAAAGATTACTGATTGCTTAGTACAGCAAGTGCCTTTCTTAGTGCTTAAAATGGCTTTCCTCACCTCAAAGACAATAAAGAAAAGGAAAAAGACTAAGAAAGGCTTCCTGTGTTGAAAGAAAAACTAGACCCAGTAGAGCTTCCCAAACCACATAGACAAAACCAAATTTCTGACCTGGTTGATTGGAAGTTATCCCCTACATCTTTAGGTGAAAAACTAATTGTCCTTGGTGAAAACTCTTCCATGATTCCCTTAGCAATAAGGCCATCCATCTGGGGTCCTGACAAATATTTCTAAGTTTCCTTTTCTACATATGGCACACTAAAATTTCTCTAGGGGTCCCTGAGCCATAGACAATTTTCTTAGAGGTCCAGGAAGATTTCCTCTGGGTTCTTCATTTAAAGGATATCCCATATATTCCAAAATAGATCTCTGCTACTGCAAGGACAATCCTGTTGTTTGTCTTTCATTCTCAAAGAGACCCTGACATCAGGAAGATGATGCCATGACTCGCAAGTGAAATCAGATTTAAAGGGAGGGAGGGCTGTGTAAAGTCACCAGCTTCACTTTCTTCTCTGGAGCCATCTAGGTCCAACTGATGGGGTATGGACCCAAGCCAAGACCTTTGCCCCTCACCCCAAAAAGAATTTGGATTCAATTTGTCTACGGACCCTAGAAAACCCTTGGATTGTCCTTGAATTCTCTTAGATCAAGGAAGTCTCTAGTGTTCACCTGAGCTATAATTCTATCATCTGGCCTTTCCTTATCACCTACAGCCCAATATCCCAGTTCTTTGTTACCCTTAATTTAGCTCATCTCCTTATTGTCCATTACCTCTCAATTGCCCCTGGCCACTTCCCACCCTTAATCCTATCTAGACTCCATTCTCCCTTAGCCATGTGGTCTAGGTCCCTGGCATTGTGTTCACCCCAGTTTATTGGCTACTCCCATCCAGATCCTCCTTAGACCCCTCCTCTAGTCACCCCAAACTACTTGGCCCCTCCTACATCCCTCCCATAGTCTTTCTGTATATAAGGTCCATTTTGTCTCCATTAAGGTGCTCAGATTCCTTAAGAACCTAGCCAAGGGTTCAGATTCTTATAATCTATTTTGCAAATGTTCAGATTCCTTAAGGCTCTGGTCAATGTGGTGCATCTTTAATAAACCTTGTCTCTGGCTGAAAGAAGGCTTGGGTCAAATTCATTTTGGCAAGACCCATGTCTCTTGCTCTTGAGATTCTGGGGTCCCAGCACCCCAAACCTCTAATTCTCAACATAATAGCAAGATATAGATCTGGAGATGGTCCTGGATGCAGTGGGAGACCTTGGCCTTTTTAAGCTAAGGTCTTTCCCAGGTCTCAGTTTGACTGAGGCAATCCCCATTCAGTTATTAAGGATAGGTAAGAAATGAGGCAAATAATAGCCTCTTTAACCTAGTTTAAAAAAAAATCATCAGTGTGAAGGAGAAGACCCTCAGGGTTTCTGGCCAAAGCAGAAACAATTGCTATTTACATTCACTCTGAGCCATCAGGGCCCAAACAGTGACCAGTTGGGCTTGGGCTAGGACTTAATTGTTGACCAATCAGTGAGAGCCAGAGTGATTTGGGTTTAAGTCTGGGTCCTTATGAAAGAAATCTAGCCAGTAAACCCCAACATAGCTTGGGAAGTTTCAGTGATCGTAATTTACATTCCTTTGGGCAGAGTACCTGCAGGTAAGGGTATGATACCCTATGTGGACAGAGAGAGGAAGGCTAGAGGGGGAGAAAAGGAAAGGAGTGAAGCATTGTTGTCCAACTATCAGAACAAGCCTACTGGAATTCCAGACTCACCCAGCAACAGGATAAATAAGCTTACTAATTAAGCCCTTAGGGTTCATAATTCCCTACCCAACCTCAGCCCCATTCCTTACATTGTGAATCCACCAGTAATAGAAACTCATTTACATGGAATGCTGCAGCATATTTACACAACTCTGTCAAGTGGGTAGAGCAATACTGTTCCTTTTTTAAAGATGATGGACCTGAGACTTAGGGGGCTAAATGACTTGTCCCAGGTCATGCAGCAGTAGAGATAAGACTCCACTGCCATCTCCCTCTGTAGAATGTAATGCCATTAAGTGTCCTATTTCAGTTTAATCATTAATTTCAATTCACATCTCCCATACCTGTTCATAAGAGTTGCTCCTGAACTTGGCTAATTATAAACTGGAATTGGGGGAACTGGACTAGATGACCTTCAAGATCCCTTCCACAGCACAAAATCTATGATCCTAATTTACTTCTGAATTAATCAAGAGCTGAATGAATGAGAAATGCAAATTGAGGATTTTGTTTTTGTGGAAGAGATTTTCTCCGACCAAAGGGAATTCTAGAGTATCTTGGCACTGAAGACAAAAGAAGACATCTTTCCCTTCCCCTTGTGTCACATTTCTAAAACAGCAGCCTTTATTCAAGTGTCAAAATATAAATCTATGATCAGTACCCGTTTTCTGGGCCTGTTTCCAAAAGGAAATGAATATTATCATGTCCTTTGTAGGCATTCCCCTTGCCCCCTCCACAGCTTATGGCTTTTAAAGACCTTTCTTTGAACAAGATTTTCTTCTGCATTTTGAACTTCCACTTACAGCCTACGCAGGAAAACTATGCACATTTAAAAGCCCTCTGTGATGCAAACAAAAATTCCACCTGCCCCCACATCTTGATGTTTTATATTTCTTGAACAGTGAGCTCTTTCTTCTAATTGTATCAGCAGCTTCAAAGTGTTAAAACCCCCAAATTGGCTCTTGTTTGATATGGCTGAGTATGAATTCCATTATGTTCACATGTTAGCCCAGGACTACTTGAAGCATGTTCAACAGATGCCACAACTGGGATTGTGTCTAAATAAGACATCGCAAATACTACAAAAAGTTGCTTTCTCTGTTCAAGAAGAAGTTGAAAAGGATATGGAAACATGCTTAAGCACTTTGGATATTGTTTCTGTAGATTCTGCCAGAAGAATTTTCAAAAGCGTTATGGAAAAGGAATTTGAGGATGGCATCATTAACTGGGGACGTATTGTTACCATATTTGCTTTTGGGGGAATTCTCATCAAGAAGCTTCTGAGACATAGAGCTCCACTGGCTATGAGCACTCATGAAGAAGTTTCTTATTTTATTGCTGAGTTCATAATGAACAACATAGCAGAGTGGATAAGACAAAACGGAGGATGGGTATGTTTTATAGAAATGTTTCTCAAAACTATTGGTAAAATAGAAAATGAAGTTTCGTTACTAATAGTTTAATCTATCTAATGATTCTATCTGTTTAGCACAGTCTTTCCTAGATGGTCTATTTTACAAGTATAGATTTTGATAAAAACTTTCTGGTACAGTTTCACAGAATCATATTATTGTGATGCTGGAAGGGGATTGTATCAGCAAACACTGATTATGTTTTATTTGTAATAATATTAAAAGACATGACTGATGCTTCAGTGACCTAAAAACTGTCAAATGCACCCTAAGAATTAAGTACTTATTCTTATTACATAGTGCAGGGGATAGGAAGAGCAAAGAGTAAATACTAGATGTTGGGGTAGCTCAGGAATCCAATGAAGAGAGAGAGAGGGTACCATAAATGCCTGAAGTGAGTAGGCAGAAACAGATACTTAGATACAAACTTGGTTGGAATTTGAAGATCAGTGTAGCCCAATGCAGATGGGCTGGCTTGAAGAGATAAAGCAAGCAGAAAACCAGTAGACTAAATAACAGAAATCAGTTCAGGAGAAACGGAGTTTTAGGAAAAAGATGACACAATGTACATTGCTTGGCTTCTTTTGGGAAGGGTATATGTATGATTTAACATGTTGGTCCTTGTATCTTAAAGGTCAAGACCTGCTTAATATGTAGGGAACATACATATATCATGGTAGGACATTATTAAACTAGAGTGGATATTTTCTTATAGTTGTTCTGACCATGTAGAATACAAACATGTTGGAAGTATCTCAATTAGCAATTATTATTTTAGACACTTCTAATATTAATTTGAAACTGTTATACATCTCTGCAAATCCACAGCTCAGGAATATTTTTACAGTCAGTTTCCTATTTTTCCCAGTAATTAAACTGTGCTCTCTAGTAATAATCTTTGTTGGCAAAAATGTATGCATTGCCCTGTCTGGTGCACTCTTTTTTTATGAACTTCTGAGACCTTGGTAAAATTGTGATTCATGTCATTATCTGTTAATATTTCTTAAAACACTTAGATGTACCAGGTACTGTGTTGGCCACTATACTGAATAAGAACTGATAGGATTTTCACACCAATAAGTAATCTAAACTAACTACTACATTTTTTCCTTCTTTAGTAAGAGTGCTACTGTTATCTTTTTTGCTAATTAAGATACCTTCAATTATATTTAAAATTATACCTCATCTAACACCTAATTTATCTCCAAAATATCCCAGTAAAGTGGCAAAGGTAAGCCATATTATCTCCAATTTATCCCAAATTATCTCCCAAATCCCATATTTGTTCTGTGAAGTTTGAATTCAGTCAAAGGACCACCCTTGAGGACCTAGAGGGCCCATGTGCTCTCGGGGCCACAGGTTCCCCACCCTTGAGCCACACTTTATTAGTTAGTAACCTACTCCTATAATAACTCTTTGGAGCTTTTAGAAAATTAGTTAATCTGATTCTCATGCTCCCTGAAATCATTCATGGGAGAAGCTCTTCATTCTCATACATGGGAGCTGAGTGGAGAAAAATGGAAAATGTACTATTGCTAATCTGGTTGTTTTCCCTCTTCCCTCTCCCATCTGCCCCTTGAGTCAGAGAATAGGTCAATTTAAAGTTATACAATACTTTGTTGTACTTATCCTAGTGATCCTAAAAGTTATTCTAGTTTTTGAGCTTAATTCCCACTAAGAGACTACAGCTTAATTTTTTTAGTTCTACAGAGGTTATACAAGTAACAACATAAATATATTCGAAAGACTACTTAAGATTTGATGGGTAGGAAAAGAGGCACATTGATCAATACTAGGATAAGTCCCTCTTCATCAAATGGAGTAATTTTCGTTTATTATTCTTTTTTTTTCTTTTGCTACTTTTGCCTCTTGTTCCCCTCCCCCTTTGTTATTTCCCTTCTATTCCCATTGTCATTTGGAAGGGCTGAAACTAAATCAGATTTTACAGGATTCCGTAACTGGTACTCTTCTTCAGTTGGACATAAAAAGAAAAAGCATAGAACAATGTTTTCTTGAATATCAAGGAGATTCTTTCTTTCTTTAAAAAATCCATACCAGTAGAATGAGTCTCCCCTGTCAGTCTCCCCTTTTTGTTCCACATGGCTTTCTTTGAGATGACATATCTATGTTCTTTTCTCAGTGATAGAACAATAGCAATGACTCCGAAACACGGTTAGCAGGATTCTACTTTTACTTCTCTTTTTTTTTCTTACTTCTCTAAAGCACCCTCCTATCCTATTTAAGTAAGTACTAAAATGCATAGTACCAGTAGACTGTTTGCAGAACTGAATAAGAGTCCTTTACAAAGCCAAAAATAGACAGGGAGGAGTGGAATCTTCATAGTAAATACTGTATCAAACTCTGGAACAGACAAATGAGCCATTAAAAAAAATCTAAAGAAAAAAAATTAACTTTTACGTTTCTCTGTAAACAATGACCACTGCATACTTTGGTGGCAAACATTTAACTCAATGGAAACACACAGAGCACTGACTATAAAGTTTGCTTTCTTCTGAATCCTGACATCTAAATGTTAAGACCTCAGGTTGAATGGCTTATTTGCTTTGCTCATCAGATCTTTTGTATAAAATAGAATCTGAAAACTTCAAAATTTGAACTTTAAGTTCTAAATTTTAACATACCAAGTTAAAAATGTTTTCTTAAGAAATAATGACAAATGCATATGTCCCAGCATGAAACTGTTAAAAAAAAAAAAAGAATTCTCATACAGACCCATATAAGTGATTTCTGTAAACCTCTCAGCTAGTGAGGCTATGAGAATGCTTTTTTTGGGTTCTAGGCCTAGATCTTTTTAAAGTACCTATGGTTTTATTTACTTCGAGCAGTAGCTACAGTATTTTATTTCAAACTTTGAATTAGCCTGAAGTCAATATAGTCAAATTAAGCCGATTACTATTACTCCCAGAGATAATATGAATATACAACATATTTGAGCATTTAAAAAAATCTGTCTTAGAATTAATAATAGAATAGTGGCTCAAATAACCATTATTTTAGAAGCTACATTTTTGTGTTTTAAAGAGATGATATAGTAACTCTGCTGAGCAAAAGAGACAATTTGATTATCATAACAATAGTTGACTTTATATATTATCTTTGATTCTCAACAACTCCACGAAATTGGTAGTATTGATGTTATCTCCATTTTATAGATAACAAAATTAAGGCTCTGAAAGGATAAATGATTCCTCAAGGATCAAAGGACTGGTCTTGTAGGTGTTATTCAAATTCTGGTCTCTCCTGACTCCAAACAGTGTCTTGAACATATAAATGTTTGTTGAATTGAATTGCTGTTTCCATTACTCCACATAGCATGGATCCAGGTGTACAGGCTATAAATGGGAAAATGGGGAGGTATTCTTACCCATGTTTAGAATATGGCAGGTCCTTATGACACTTTTCATCTACTTTGCAAATGGAGAAAAGAGCTTATTAAATATAGTAAAAATTGGTCTATCTAGTTTTTTGCCAAATTAAAATCTCTATTGTCACTTTACCAGTAAGAGATGAAATGATCATAAAAGCAACTTGGGAGATACTACAGGATCCTAAAGTGCTTGTGAATCATCTAAAAAAATTTATGTTCATTTTCTTGAATTTTATTTCTTTATAGTTATTGTTCAGAAATATACCATTGTACTTGATAAAGAAATCTGAGATGTACTCTGATGGAAGGTATAAGTAGGACACAGAAGGACTGTGTTCTTGTTCCTGTTCACCTACTGGCTGACCTTAGGCAAGTCACTGAATCTCTCTAAGATGTAGTTTCCTTATATGTAAAATTAGCATGTTGATTTAAGGTCCTTATAATTAATCGATCAACAAGCATTTGTTTAGGTGCTAGGAGTATAGAGAAAACAGTAAAACAAATCCTGCTTTCTAGAACTTAACCTGAGGTCTGTGAAATAATAAAAAAAAAACAAAACCCAAACTATATTTCAATATAATTGGTTTCCATTGTAATTCTATGCATTTTATTTTATGCCTTTAAAAATATTACTCTGAGAAGGGGTCCAGAGTCTTCATTAGATTGCCAGAGAAGTCCAGGACACAAAAAAGATTAAGAGCCCCTTGTGGACCTGTCAACATGAGTGGAACCATAGGGCACAAAATACTACCCTTTCAAGTATCAATGGTAATGTTGATTTGATTGTTGTTATATGGATAAGAGGGTAGTGAGGCGGGGAGAGGTGGTGGTAATGAAACAGCTGGGCAGATAGCAAGATATGTAAATAGACTAGGCCCTATGCTGTTTGATGGCTAGATGAGATTAATTACAGCTTGGGTATCTGGATAGACATAGAGGATTTCAACTGAAGATTGCCTCATTCCCTCTCCTGTCTAGGCAGCTCCATTTCCTGATAAGTCCCAATGCTGCACAGAGTAACTCCATCAGGGTTAGGGAATAGGGTCAGAGGTCCAGATTTGGAGGGCTGCTATTTTTGGTGGAGAGAAGCACGCAATGGCAAAGCAGACCTCTTCAGTCCATGGACCCAAGGTTAAGAATTTCTGCCCTCTAATATTTGCAAAACAAATTGGGTCAACTATTTACTATTTATGTATTTATGACAGTTTTAATGCTTTACAGCGTTAACTTAGTCCTCACTTATTTTTGAAATGTTTAAAAACAAAGAATTTTTTTTTTAAACAGGAAAATGGCTTCGTAAAGAGCTTTGAACCTAATAAGGCGTGGCCAAACTTCATGGATATTTCAACAAAGATCTGGGGTATATTTTCCTATCTGAAGTAATCCTTTTCAACTGAAAAGAATTAGCCTGTCCTAAAGCACTGGCTAACACAAGAACTCTAGTCAAGATTTACTTCTTTAAGGCAATTCTGTGGACATGACCAATTCTTTGAGGAATCTATGACAATTAAAAAAAATCAGCATTTTTATTAACAAACTGTGAGTGTATATCTATAAATTCACTTGGAGTAAATGCTTTAAGCTCTGAGTTAGTGTTGGAGTATAGCAAAATACAAGTTCTATCTTATTTCAATAATATGTTCAATTGACAGGAACACATCAAGCCTCAAACATCATTATCAATAGACATTTAGTGATATGCTACTTTTACATACTACTGTACTATACCGTACTACAACCTTCCTTGAAGATAGAGCTGTTTACATTATTTACAATGACACTCTAAGGATTACCAAATAAAGTTCAACTGTTCTCTAGAATCCAATACCCTACACAGTCTTACCTACACAATACCACTCTTATCCTTCTAGTCTTAGGTCATACTCCTCCTCTCTATGTATTTATTCTAAGATCTAGTCAAACTAGGACACCCTCCCTACCCCCCACTCCCATATGCTTTTCTGCCTCTTTAGCGGCAGCTAGGTGGCAGAGTGGTATAATGCTGGGCCTGAAGGTAAGAAGACCTGGGTTCAAATTTGGCATAAGATACTTACTGGCTGAGTGAAGCTGGGAAACTCACTTAACCTCTGTCAGCCTCAGTTTCCTCAACCATAAAATGGAGATAATGACAAATCTATTTCCCAAGGTTGTCAATGAGGATCAAATGAGATATTTATAAAGCACTTAGCATAATGCTTAACACATAGTAGGTGCTCAATACTTGTTTCCTTCTTTCTTTCCTGCCTTCCTTGTTTTTGCTCATGATGTTTTCTTGTTTCCTTTGTTAAATTGCTAGCTATCCCTTAAAAGCCAGTTCAGATGCCAACTGCACCATGAAACATTTCCTAATCTTCCCAGTTATTAACAAATTAAGATCTCTCAGATCTAACATAACACTTCATGCTTACTTGGTATACTCAGCATGTATCTAGTACAATGGTCTGATTTAAGTACAATTAAATACAGTTTAAATTGGCATTTAAATGGCTAACACATTGAATTAACTTGATCAGTCACTTACTATTTACTTGACTTATTATAACACTTCAAAATACTTACTCATTGAACTAATTTTATTGAGCCTTGTCTCTCTGTATGAACAAGCACATAGCCCTAGCCTCAAGGAGTTTTCATTTCGGCTAGAAGCTTCAGATAATGTCAAAATAATCACCAGACTAATTCTGATTTGAATTAGTATCTTTAGGGTGAAGCAGACAGAAATATCACTATAGATTTAAATGAGGACTCAGCTCAGACCAACTGAGAAGTAAGTAAAGTTTGTTTAAAATAACTCACTCTCTCCTTAAACCTACCTCTTGGAGTCCCTAATTTTCTTCAAGACACACCTACGTACTACTTATAAGAGGCCGTTCCTGATTCCCTTAACTGTTAACATTCTATTGCTTTTAAAATTTTTTTGGTCACATCCTATTCTTTGTGACTCTATTTGGGATTTTCTTGGCAGAGATACTGGAGTAGTTTGACATTTCTTTCTCCAGCTCATTTTACAGGCGAGGAAACAGAGGCAAACAGGATTAAGTGACTTGGCCAGGATCACACAACTAGTAAGTGTGAGGCCAGATTTTAATTAAGGAAGATGAGTCTTTTTGCCTCCAAGACTGGCTCTCCATCTATCGCTCCATCTAGCTACCCCTCCTCTTAAAATTAATTTGTATTATTTTGCATATACTTCTTGAAGAACTGGACTGTTTTGTTTTTTTCTCTTTAAAGGTAATTCCATAGATTCCACTTCACTGGAATTTGCAGGTTAATTTCTCACTCTTTTTAGAAGAGAATCATAGAGTAGCAGAGTTAGAAGCTATTTTAGATACAAATGCCCAGTCAATGAAATAGTCCCTTCTACAACATTTCTTACGTAATCATTTAGCCTCTGCTTGTGCATGTCCAGTGATAGGAATTCATTATTTTGTGAAGCAGCTAGTTCCAGATAGCTTTAAGTGTCAGAAAAGTTTTTTCCATATATTGAAGCTTCAACTTTTAGTCCAACTTTTGCCATCTGGAACAATACAGATGAAGTCTTTTTTCTTATTCTCAAATTGTGAAGTATACTGAGTGCTAAACTAAGGAGTCAAGAAGAATTAGGTCCAATAAAGTCTGCCTCCAACACTCATTAGCTGTATGACCATGAACTGCTCTCTTAACCTCTGAACTTCTGTTTTTGCGTTTGTAAAACGGGGATAATTATACCTATAGTACGTACCTCACAGGGTTTTTTTTATGGAAATCAAATAAGATATGTGCTAAGTGCTTTGCAAATCTTAAAATGTACTAAATAAATGTCTATATATTATTATAATTATCTGCATGCAGATATCACATTTGAATTAAATTTTGAAAATTCTTATTAAATGTCTACTATGAGTAAGACATTGCTAGGTACTAGAGATACACATAAAAACAAAGCAAGATGTTAGATCATGTCTCTTTTGTCTTCTTCTCTACGCTAAATATAACTAATTCTTTTAAGTACTTCTTATATAACTAGATTCCAGATCATTCTCCCAAACCTTGCAGTGATCCTTGACAATCCTATTTCCCCCTTTCCCTCCCGTCAGTCAGCTACCAAGGCCTAATTTTTCCATCATAAAGCATCTGGATCCATCCTACCACATCTCCTTTGCCTAATTATATCAGGACTGCACTACTGTAATAATCTTCTGATTTCTCAGCTTTTGGTCTTACACTCCATACTAATTCAATTTGACCAACATTTACTACATTCCTACTATGCACATGGCACTGCACTGGTTGCTAGGAATACAAAGACAAGAATCAATGTCGCTACTGTCAAGAGCTTATATTAGACTGGGAGATATACAACATGTATAAACACAGATAAGATAATGAAGGCATTTTAGGAAGGGTGGAAACATCATCAGTTGGAGGGCTCAAAGACAGTTTCACGTAGGAAGTGGGCACCTGAGCTGAATCTTATAGAGTTGTAAAAATTTTGAGAGGCAAAGCTAAGAATGGAACGTATTCCACTCTGGAGCACATAGATACATACACATACATACATATATATATATATATATATATATATATATATATATATATATATATATATATAGACATATGTGTACACATATGTATATGCAGATATATGTATTTATATGTGTGAATTTGGAAGCCATGTACATAGGATGCTATCTTAATCTACAGAAGCTGATGAGTATTCTACAGGAATGATATAGAAAGAGAAGAAACCCCAGTACAGAGTCTAGGAGACAACCACACTTGGAGGGTGGGAGATGGATAATCCAGCTGTAAGGTAATGCCCCTTTCTTATGTAGACATTTTATTTACTGAAAGGGGCAGATAAAGGACATTTATGTGAGAAATAGAGAGAAGCAATTTATGGAGAAATATAAACTTTTTGGAGAGGACCTGGGAAAAAAGGAGCCCCTCAGTGCTTGGAGACACTGTTCTGAGAGGGTCTTAATGGAAGCAGATCCCCAGAGTCATTGTTTCCCAGTAGCTAATTTACATGTAACTGTTTTTAGGACTTGGAAATTTATTTCTGGGAAATTCTGAGTCAAAGAACTGTTTAGGGACCAGGAGTTAATTGTATATTGATTGTGTTATATATGACAGAAATTGAGATTTTCAAATTTTCAACCTAATAATAGAAGTAAGTCGTAACACATGAGTAGTCACTGATTTGAGACAAGAAGGACAAACAGGCCAGAAATTTTAAAATAAAAGCTGAGACATCAGAAGCTAAGAGAAACAAAGTCATCAGAAGCTGCTACTCTTAAGTCAAGCTTAATTAGAGATGGAGAGGTTCTGCAGTGGAAGCTGGGAGCCGAACTGATTGGAGGAAAGAGCTGATGCCTGGAGCTGGAGCAAGCAAAATCCTCTGATGTTTGAAGAGTTAAATGGGAAAATACTGCCTTGTTCTCTAGTACTACCCACACCCTTAGAGAGGAGACACCAAAATGAGCTTACCACTGCTCCATTGGCCAGAAAGTCCCTGTTTCACTGTCTCTAAGGTCAACTCTATTCACTACACCATGCTGGCTATCATGATCATAACAGAAAAATATATGAATATAAAGGAAGGTTCATTTATCTTAGGAATAACAAATATGAGAATAGAGAAAATCAGGAAGATTTAAACAAAATCTGTAGAATGAAATAGAACCAGGAGTTCAATATGCACTATCACTATAACAAAGTACATGGAAAAAACAATAAAACAAAACTAAATGTTGTATAATTATAATGTTCAAGTTCAGCCCTAGAGAAAAGATGAGAAAATGTACCTCATTTCTTTGAGGAGGCAGGGGTGTGTGTATGTATGTCTAGGGATGTGAAATATTTCATAAACTGTCATGTATGGTTGATGTATTATTTCATTTTGCTAAATAGTTTAAAAAAATCTTTGTTAAAAGGGAACAAAGCTAATCTTTATAGCCCCAAGGCCTCACACTTATAAATACCCATTGAATTATTCATGTCCATTACTGAGGTCAGAAGAAGCTAGATTCTAGTCCCAGGTGTGTTATTGGTTGTGCCACCATATATGTTTCTTAACTTCTTTTGAGTTTTTGTGTGGTGGACCAAGGGCTCAGTCTTGGCCCCTCATTTCTTTGGCTTCAATTGTTATCTCTGTGAAGATGTCCATCAAATTGACCTATCCAGACCTTATTCTCTTATTATCACCATATCCAGTCCCATAGCACCAACAGTCTGCTAGATAGGTCCATTTGAATATCTCAGCCATCTCAACTTCAACATATCCAAAATGGAATACACAAACTCAGCCATATTTCCAACTTCCTTATTTCTGTCAAGGGTATTACATATTTCCAACCCAATCTGCAACTTTGGAATAATCCTTAACTCTTTCCTCTTCCTCAACCTCCACATCTAAGCACATGCCAATCAATTTTTCCTGACCTTTCTCCTCACACTACTTCTACTGTAGTTCCAGGCTTCATTGCTTTTCATTTTGATTATTGTAAGAACTTTCTGATTGGTCCTCCCTCAAGTCTCTACCCAGCTGTCAAATTGAAATTCCTATGGCACAGATCTTGTCATGCATCCAAGGAGCTTCAGTGGTTTCCTATTGCCCTTTAAGGCAAAATACAAACTCCTTTGGCATTTAAATCCCATCACAGTTTAGTACCAACATATTTTCCAATTACTTCCTCTTATAGATTCTACATTCAAGTCACACTGGTCTACTCCTTTTTGGTACCTGACATTTCATCTCCTCCTTGGTGATTTTTGCATAGGCTTTTCCAACTCTAGCTCCTTCCAAGGCTCAGCTCAGGTGCCACTTACTAAGAGGCATTTCTTGATTGTCCCAGTTGTTACCAACTCCTTTCTCCAACTCCCAATTATATGTATTTATATATACCTAACTGGGTACAGGGTGTTTGCCCTCATTGACTATTTTACTTTTGCTATCTCTAGCACTCAGCATGGAGTCTGGCACATAGAAGGCACTTAATGAAGGCTTGAATTAATCTCCTCATGTATAAAATAAGGTTTATACTACCTACCTCATAGGATTGTTATGGGAAAAGCACTTGTAGAACCTAAAAGCCTAAATGAGGAAAGTGCCTTTACAATTCTACATAAATAGATGCTATTATAGTTGATCCTAATAACAAGCAAACCCTGTGAGGCAGTGAGAGGCAGGTGGCCCCTTTACAGGAGAAAAAGAAATAAAATGACTAGTCCAAGATCACACAGCAGCAATGCTCATACTGGCACTCAAGTCTCAACACCCAGTGCAATGCTTTCCCAATTACCGACCATCCCACTTTATCGAACCACCTAGGAATATTCTGATCTTGCCCAGGTTGGCGATTATTCTCCTTATCTCTAAAATGCAGAAGAAGGAAGACAAGAAGGAAGTGTAGGAAGATGGGCCAGTTAATTTCCAAATAACACTTAACCTAGAGGATTCATTCAGGAAGCGCATCCTACCCTGCAGTATTCATTTTAGCTCACAGGGATCCATGACTTTTACAGCTTAAAGAGGAACTAGTGTAGTAATAAGAACACTAGACCAGAATCCCAGGCCCGCGTGACCTTCGGCAAGTCCCTTAACCTCCTGGACTAGAGGGCTGCGACAGTCCGTGCCAGCTCTGAAGCCTGTGACCTCAGCGCAGCCGGTTCACCCTTCCAGCTGAGCTCGACTAAAGCAGGATTCCCGCACCTGACACGTTCTATCAAGCAACCCCCGGTATCCAGAGGAGCGCAGGAGAGGGCGGGGCCTGCTCAGGGGGAGGTCGCTTCCGAGGTCAGGCTCAGGTCTCCGTCTCCCCAGGTGGACAGCAGGGGTCAGCGGGGCGGGCCTTCTCCGAACTCCAACATGGCGGCTGCGACGGCCATAAACGGAGCCAAGCGCAACTTGCGGGCCGAGATGAAGCAGCGGCTGCGGGCGATCAGCGCCGAGGAACGGCTGCGCCAGTCCCGTCTGCTGACAGAGAAGGTGCGCGGGGTGAAGCGGGAGCGTGGGCCTGCGCGGGTGTGACGACTTGGCCTAATTCGTTTCTGAACGCTGCTGCGGCGCGGGGGCGCGCACGTGATTAGGCCTTCAGGGACGCGACTCCCCCTCCCCTTCGCGTTTAACGTGCGCGCCCCCGCTCTTCTGCGCGTATCCTTTCTGGGCTCCTTAGACCTAGAGTGTACAGATAAGGAAACTAACGGGAGGTGAAACTGAGGCCATGGGGAGAAGAGCGGTAATTCCAACCCAAGAGCTCTGGCAGCAAAATCAAGCGTTCTTTGCTTTGCCATACCTCCCTCCCTAAATGCAGCAGTTACAAAAATCGCACTTCAGTCCATTTCTTAAAACTACCCTGGCACAGCTAGGCATATCCCAAGAAGAGGTTAAAAGTAGAAAAGTCCCCAAATCACTTTAAAAGTTGAAGCCGCGTGTTGTGAAGTGGTGGAGAGGCCTATGCTGATGTATTGGGCTCTGATATGGTTGTTCAGATGTTTTCAGCAATTCTGCACGTGTATTTCTGGAAGACCTCTGCAAGGCACTGCTGGGTGCTGAGAATGCAAATATGGTATGATTTTTACCTTCAAAAGTTCTTGCTTACTGGGCTATAAAACTCCCTGAGTGAAGGATTTACCTCCTTTTCTGTCTAGCACAGTTTCTGGGGTGTACTGGCCACTCTACCCTCACCCCAGGAATTTAATAAGCGCTTGTTTGAATGAATGAATATCATCAAAGTCTTTAAGATTAACATACCTTGTATTATGCAGTTTTGCACAAAGTATCCGTTTAAAAAAAGGGACACTTTTGGAAAGAATGGAAATATGTAACAAAGTTGTATGTTACAAATCATCAAGATGTTAGAATATCTAACTGTGCTGGACTTGGAGGCAGGAAGAGTTAGGTTGAAATTTAACCTTTGATATTTACTAGCAGTGTTACCATGGGCAAGTAAGTCAACTGCACCTTTCTAATCGTCATTGGCAAAATGAAGGAGTAGGACTAGATGATCTCAAAAGTCCTTTCCAATTCTAAGTCTATAGTTCTATGATTAGGGAACTCTTCATGACTAAATTATAAAGAGTGTCTAAGGGAATTCCCATAGCACTGAAGTAAAAAATCCTTAATGCTTGAATGACTTAGGCAGTGAATGCTAAAAGAGTTTAGAGGAAAGAAAGATCACTTTCCTCTGGGGTGATTAGGAATGCTTTCATGGAGTAAGTGAAATTTGATCTGTGCTTTGAAGGATGGATTGGATTTTCCTAGGTATTGAAAGAGGAGGAGAGTCTACTAAATGAAGTGGATTGATTAATGGATTTGGAGTCAGTAGACCTAGGACCTAGTTATTTATGCTGGAGAAGGAGATGGCAAAGCACTCCAGTATCTTTGCCAAGAAAACCCCAAATGGAGTCACAAAGAGTCAGACAACACTGAACAATGTATAGCAGACCTAGGGACTTAGGTTCTGACTTCAACCTGTATTAGTTGTGTGACTTTGAGCAAATCACTCTACCTATACCAGCCTGAATTTCCTCATTTGTAAAATGGGGATAATAATGTTTTCACTAGCTCTCTTTACAAGTTTGTATGGAAAACACCTTATAAACCTTAGAATGAGAGATTATGTAGGTAAATTTTAATACACTTATGTACTTTTAGTCTTAGAGAGTTGCTTGGGGCATTGAAAAGTTAAATGACTTGCTCAGCATCAGACCCTTAGTATGTGTCAGACTATTTTAAATCTAGACCTTCCTGCCTCCAAGGTCAGACTTCTCTAAGATTATAAATACCATTAATATGCTGGTCTAAATTAGTGGAGGGAGTTTTTATATTGGTGGTTCCCATACAGATATACCCCAAGAGTATTATAATACTTCAGGGATCCATCATTTCCTTGTAGTGAGTGATGCTTTCATAAATTCATATTGCTACTATATAGTTCAGAAGATGGTCTTTGAAGATTCTAGTGGCTAACAACTTCATCCCTTTGCAGCCCTCCTGGTGATAAGCCTCTTTGAAATGTTTGGGATGGTACTTGGCCCTTTATAATAGAAGACTTTCTACCTTCATAGGACCTACCAGAGCTTGTGCTCTAACTAGGTGGAGCAGTGGATAGAGCACTAGAGTCGTGAAAACCTGAGTTCAAATCCTACTTCACACATTTACTAGCTATGTGACCCTAGGTAAGTCACTTAACAGCTATTTACCTCAGTTTTCTCATCTGTAAAATGGAGCTAATAATGTCACCTACTTCCTAGAGCTTCTATGAGGATCAAATGAAATAATAATTTTAAAGTGCTTAGCACTGTGTCTGGCACGTAGTAAGCGCTATATAAATGTTAGCTACTACTACTACTACATAGTTTTAATAACTTAGTATCCTCACTCTCCCACAATTAGCATGGGAGTATCACGAGCATAGACAGACCTTGTCTAAAAACTCCATCAAAAAAAGCTAGTCTGATTTGACCTTTTCTTGGCGAAACCATGTGAGTTGTTGGTGATAACAAATTTTTTAAAATATTTATAAGCTCTCCCTTTTGCTAAAACATTTTAGAATTTTGTGAGAGATTAAATCATACTCACTCGTTACACTATTTTCCTTTGGAAATTAGGACATTTGTTGATCCCCTGTTCTGTGATACTTCACCCATTCTCTGTAGTCTTTCAAAGTTCACTGACAGAATCACAGGAAGTACAAATTCTTTGTACTGTGTACTGTGGTATGGCTGATCTGGGCCTGGTGATATGAACTCATCTGCTGAGAGCAGATAAATATTTTCTTTCAGTCTCCTCACTTAACTTGGAGTTCAACCCTCTGTTCACTGTATTTATTGTCTTCCTCAGTTCCAAGACCATTTTCCTTAGAAGGAAAACTGAGTCAAAATAGGACTTCAGAGCTTCTTCCTTCTCTAACTCATTATTATTGTCCCATCCATTCTTCATAGTAGACCTATCCCTTATTTGATCTTCCTTTTGTCTCCAAAAAAGCTTTAAGAAATCACCTTTTTTGTTGTGTTTAGCATTCATCATTAGCCTTAGCTTATTCTAGACCTTAGCATTTCTGATTTTTTTGTAAGACTGCACCACTCTTTTGTACTTATCCTCCATTTCTGCCCTTTTTTCCATCTTTTATAAGTGACTTTAAAAAATCTTAGTCAATGAATGAATGCCCTGTGGCTCGTAATCAGCATCACAAGATGATAGGAAAATATATTTCTTACCTCATTAAGTATATTCTTCCTGGACCAGAATCATCATTGCTATATTTTAAGCGATAGCCCAGAAATCCAATTCCTATTCTCAGGAAACATCTTCTTAATTAGTTGTTCACTTCTCTAATTAGTCTCTCTTCTGAAGGCCCTACTTCAATAAGCAGCTGTAATGGAAACACCATTTCTTTTTCTAGAGTCTTCAATTTCTTTCTTAGGATTCATAATACCTAGGTTCTTTCTGTAAGTATTGTTTGTGCTTACATGAATCTATAGGAGTAGGTTGTGGTCATTAGCTTTGACATGTCTGAGGAGTCTTTCCACATCCTAGATACATGCCCTAGGCAGCTAGGTCATGTAGTAGACAGAGCACTGGGCCTGGAGTCAGGAAGACCTGAGATAAAATTCAGCTTCAGATACTTAGCTGTGTGGCCCTGGACCTCTGTTTGCTTCAGTTTCCTCAACTGTGAAAAAGAGGATAATAATAGTACCTATCTCCCAAGGTGGTTGTGAAGATCAAATGAAGTAATGTTTGTAAAGCAATTTAGCAAAGTGCCTGGCACATAGTAGCTACTTAATAAATGCTTGTTTACTTCCTTTTCCCCTCCCTCCCTCCCTTCCTCCTTTCCTCCTTTCCTTCCTCCCTTCCTGTTGACGAGTAGCCATTTTGGTACCCTTTAGCAGAGACTTTCTCTCTAGGTTGTTCCTGGACATCATTATGCATTAGAGCACAGGACAATGTTTCCTTCTCAGTGGATTCCTGCTCAGTAGGAAAAGCCTCATACCTATTGCACAGCTCCAGATGTTCAGTGGTCAGTTTTCTTTTCTTGCTGTATTCATATTCTTCTGCCTTCTAGACTCCTGATATAGTTTATATTCTTTTTCATATTCTTTGTTTTCTCTTTGAAGCACTTCCTTATTTAAAGGAATTCTATTCTCTGCTTATCTAGAGAGTAGAGAAGCTTTCTTTTAGCCCTTTCTTATTCTCTTGTAGAGAGATCATTCGCCATTTTGTGTATACATGTTTGTTGGCAGAGACAGGAGCATGACATTTTTGGCAGTTCACTGCATAATTCCACTTGCCCTTTATACTTTCTAGAAGCTAGATCTTCACTCTTCTGTTAGTAGCTTTTGTAGCCAATTGCCATGGCACATGGTTCATTGTACTTCAGACTTCTGAATCACGTTTTATTTATTTATTTATTAGCAAATTTTCTGCCTTTTCTTGCAATATAATAACAGTTTGTTTAGCTGCCTTTGATTGGAAATTACTGGATTTTGTGCCTAGCCCAAATTGCCTTAAATTTTTTTTTCTGTGAATCTCAATTAGAAAGTCAATTATCAACTTTTTTTTAATCTCTTCATGCATCTTCCTCTACTATTATTTTTTTAAATAAACTTTAGATATAACTTATTGTGTTACTGGTTTTCTGGCTTTCTATTCTTTCCCTCTGGCACCTTGCCTGTTGAGTTAATACTCATCATTTTAAGCCCAGTACAAACGCCACCACTTTCATGAAGCTGTCCATGATTTCCACAGTTGTTAAAAATCTTCCCACTCAGTCTTAACTTAGCATTCTGTTTTATATTCTTTAGAGCTCTTAACATGTTGTATATTATTATTATTGCCCTACTATTTTGTAACCTCATATGGTCTGAGACTGTTTTATTTATACATTATGCCACCCCTGATGCTTAAAATAGTATTTGAGAAAGAAGAGGAGGAGGACAGTTGTAGAAATGGGCTTATGTGTAGACATTAACTAATGTGTGTTTGCCAACAATATTTTATTGATGTTGCCTCTTCTGTTTTGTCAGCTCAAGTCTTACCTCCTAAGTCCTGTAGCATCAATGAGCCTGGGACTCCTGCTGTCATCTACTTTGCCCTGAGAATGACTGCTTAAATGGCAAATGAAGGTCCCTAACAACAAAATCACTGACTTTAATATGAATGTTTTCTATCTTCTTTCGTTTTATCTTCCCCATACACTGTATGATACAGTGATACTGGCTTCTTGCTGTTCCCCTTTGAGCAAGCATTCCATCTCCTGACACTGCATTTTCACTGGCTGACCTCCATGCTTGGAATTGTCTTTCTGATCTCTACCTCCTAGCTTCCAAGGCTTCCTTCAAATCTCAGCTAAAGTCCCACCTTCTGCGAAAAGCCTGTCCTGATCCCCCTTAATGCTACTGCCTTCCCTCTGTTGATAATTTCCTATTTACCTTGTCTATAGCTTGTTTATACACAGTTGTTTGCATGTTGTCTGTCCCATTTCTGCTTGAGAGAAGGGACTCTCTTCTGCCTTTCTTTGTACTCCCAGTGCTTAGTACTGTGCGTGGCACACAGTAGGCATTTAGTAAATGTTAGTTGACTAAAGTATAAAATAATAACAATGATATAAAACTTGCCTCTCGAGTTCACTAGATAGGACATGTAACTAGGATGGCTAAGTAAATGTTAACTGTTCTTTTTGGAACATGATTTACCTGGAGAGAGTTTTAAATGTTTTGGCATTTTCCTCAGTAGGACTAAAAACTTCACTTTATTCTGGCAGACTAAAACTTTTACATTAGGAAATGTATATTGGCAGCAACACAGAAAATATAACTGTCACGTTCAAGATGTCCTTTGGGAAATTTATGTAATATTAGGTTTTTAAAAAGTATATATACAGAAGTGGATATAGATTGACTATTTGTAAGTAAACATTTTCACTAGGCGTGCTTTTACTCTGAGTTTTGTGTAGTGTAGTCTATAGTTCCTCCATGGAAGTGCTCCTCCAAGGCTTCGCCATGCCCTGGAGGTGACTCAGGGTTCTTGAAGGCTGTGCTAGCAGAACACATACTTAAGTAGTGCCTACTAAGCTAATAAGGCTTTGTCCCGGTAAGAGACTTTGAGTCCTTTGTCCAGGTCAGAGAAATCCTTTACTCGGTTGACTGCAGGATGATGAATTTTTCTGATACAATAACTCAGGAAGACCATCTAAGTGCCACAAGTTTTGTGGTCTGCATGTGTGAAAGGATGACCCACAACATTGAAATCATGGATGTTGGATGAGTTGAGTATGGCATGTAGTAGCCATGAAATTTGTTTTCTGTTTGGAAGCTATTTCTCAGTATTCTGTCACTCCAGAAACACAGCTTCTGAAGAATTTATGAAGTAGAAACAATAATAATGCCCTGTAGCATTTACATATGGTAAAATGTCTTTATGTATCCTGCCTTTTTTCATTTCCCTTTCAACAGTCTTGTGAGTTTAGCAGAGAAGAAATTATTATCTGTCTTTTACCAGTGAGGAACCCAAGGCCTAGATCTATGCTGCCAGGACCCAGAAGGCAAAACTGGGAGCAGTGAGAGGGAGTTACAGAAGATGGATTTTGGTTTAATACAAGAAGAGACTTCCTAACAATGAAAACTTCCCCAAAGCGGAATGGGCTGCCTCTTGGAATCATAAAATCATAGAGTAGGAGTTGTAAGGGACCTTAACAGTCAGTTGGTACAAGGCTATGATTTTGCAGATGGGGAAAAAGATTAAGTGACTTGCTCAAGGTCACTTAGATAGTAAGTGGCACAGGCATGTTTTGAACCCAGGTCCTCTGACTTCAAATCCAGCATTCTTTTCCATTATACCCATCTCATATTCCATAGTAAGGTGCCCATCCAGGACTTCAAGCAGAAGGTAATGGACCCCCCACCCACCCCAGTCAACCCCCACCCCCTTTTTGAAGGATATTATAGAAAGGATCCTTGAGATTCTATTTTGAAGGATATTATAGAAAGGATCCTTGAGATTCTATTAGGTGCTGAAGGTCATATAGTAGGTCACATAGCCAGAAATGGAGCCTAAAACCTTTGGCTCCTGACCCAGTTGCCTTTTTTTTTTTCAGTAGTGTACCTGGTACATGGATGGAGTAGTCACCCACATTTTAATGCATCACACCTCTCAAACAAATCATGTGGTTATCTACTCACTCTTTGGTCTGGCTTGCTCACTCTAGTCTGCTTACACACACTGACGGGTATAGGTTCCCAGAAAACTACCATCAACTCTCTTATGGTCCCAAGGAATGTGGAGGAATATACTCCTATCATACATCATTTCAGTTCCTGAGCCTCCACTAATGTACTTCATTTTACACAAAACTAAACACTGACAAAGTGACACTTTTAGGTCTGAAACATAAACATTTATTTAACAATAAGACAAAAGAAATATAACATGTATTAATATATTAAATCAAATGTAGGAATAATAACTATATCACAATCTACGCATAAAGATGGGTAACATTCTGACACCAAGGTACTGAATATCTGTGGGTGAAAGTAGGCACAGCTTACAAAAAACCTTCTAAGGGGTACATGAGTGAGCTCAGCGTAACACACAACTCTGGAGCTATAAACTTTGGTATCTTCTTTCTTTCCCAGGAAATGTCCATAAAAGTTCCTTGATGAATGTAGCCTCTGTATTGAACAGATGTGTTCACTGCTGAGATGAGTTGATCCATACTGTGTTTTACCAACACCCCACACTGGGCATGATATCTTAGCCAAAGTAGTCAATCTGCTTAGTGACTTCTGATTTTTTATTTCTGAGCGGTTCCTCTATTCAATTGTACTTGTTTCTCAGCATTGACTATAATGTCCATCACTTTCAGCGTCAAGCTTAGTTGGTTCCCTTCTGAAATCTGTTCTTTCACCTCTTTTTTCTCTTACTTTCTAGGGTCCTTTCTGAAAATTACTCCAGTGTAGCTTATGGTTAATAGTGGAGCTCTCATCTGCTCTCTATAGTCAGATAAATTGCCTTTATCTCATAATCAGACAAAAATTCTGGTATTGTTATCTTTCTAGCTTGTTATAGTTTTTCACATTTTTTTCATTCAAAATGAGAAAGAAAAATTAAAAAAGAATAGCAGCTGTCTCAGAACTTTGAATTAGAGTAACTATTTCTTAGAACTCTGATCAAAGCAGACACCTCTACAACAAACTGCTCCATATTAAAGGAGAGTGACTTAAAATGATGGTACCTTACCATGGGATAATAAACTGGAATCTCGAAGAGACCTTAGATGGTGTCTAGTCCAACCTTTTCTTTTACAGGTGAAGAAATTAGTCTGGGGCAGTTACTTGTTTGTGGTAACATAGGCAGTAAATGGCAGGAATTAAAACTTAGGTCTCTTGACTCCCAAACTGGTGCTCTGTTCATTGTACCATGCTGACTTTTTCCTTTTTTTGTTTTATTGTTGTCTTGTTCTTATACTGTAGTCATTTCTAGATATGTCCCTCCCTTCAATCCACTACATCCACCTAATTAACCTACCTTTTTAGGAAAAAAAATTCTGCAAAATCAACCAATAATACATGGACCACCTCTGATAATATATGCAACATTCTACATCTTAGGGAAAGGAGTGAGGAGCGTTACCTTATCTCCACAGTGGCCACTATAATTGTGCAAATTAAATGGCGTTTTATTCTTTCTGTTTATGTCGTTTTACTAATTGTGTATGTGGTCTTGATTTTGCTTACTTCACTCTGCATAAGTTCATACAAGTTTTCCCTGTTTCCTTGAATTTCTCACATCCATCATTTCTTATAGCAGAATAATCCATTCCTATTCCACAATTCATTTCACCCTTCCCCAATGGGTACCCACTTTCTTTCCAATTTCTTGCTACCCCAAAAAAGCACTATGAGTATTTTGTAACATGAAACTCCAGTGTTTTTTCTTCCATACAACAATTGGTGAAGAAATTGGCAAAAACCAAGAGGAAGTAGAAAGATTTTAAGGAATGTTTATCATGTTTTCAGCAGCTTCTTAAATATAATTGTAATCTTTTTTTGTTTAGGTGATCACTCATAGTAAATATCAAGAGGCTCAGAGAATTTCAATCTTTCTGAGCATGCAGGATGAAATTGAGACAGAAGAAATTATCAAGGATATTTTTCGACGTGGCAAAACATGTTTTATCCCTCGATACAAATTCAAGAGCAGCTACATGGATATGGTAAAGTTATTTTCAGCAGAGGAAATTTTTTCACTTCCCAAAACTTCCTGGAACATTCATCAGCCCAGAGATGATGAAGTGCGGGAGGAGGCTTTGTCAACAGGTAAGTGAGGAAACCTTTGCTTCCTAACTGAATTCTGCCTTACCATGCATATAGCTCAAGTGTTAACAGACATTCAGACATGGCTGCACTCACCCTTCTCGTGTAGGTTGAGCAAGAAATCTTTCTGGGTCTCAAGAAGCTTAGCCATGTAAGTGAGGTCCTGGCCAGTTGTCCATTTCAATCTGTCTCTCACAGAGTTGGAATTAGATTAGATATCATAGCAGAGTGGAAGAGACTTTGTGGTATGAGAACCTTTTAATGCCCCCAGTCACAATATTAATAAGATCACCATTCATCTTATGATTACTAGTTTTGAGCAAAGTACTTGTGATAGCAGTGGGTATAGAAATGCCAAATATTCTGGTTGGATAAATTACTTATTGTAGCTAATGTTATTCCTCACTTTTTATCCCCTGTTTAAGTTTTTGTTGTCATGTATTTTGTACTTGCCTTGAAGTTACGTGAGAGTTCTTGACTTCCCCTTTCTTCATAATTGGTATGACTTCAGTGCTTTATAAAGAATTGAGCATTCTATTATTTGGTTTTATCACTACTTTATTTTTAAGAGAAAACAGATTCATTTTGTATTGACACTATATAGGCTTCCCAACAAACACCGTCTCTTCCGCTTCAGAAAATATTTTCTCTCAAGTGGTTAAGCAAAAGTACCTGAGAGTTATTTAGACTATGAAAAAAAACCATCCAGCTGAGCATTTATGTCTGATAGTGCATACTACTTTCCATTTTTAGAGTTTATTGGTTGTTAGCAGAAAGGAAGAATGTGTGCTTTAGCTTCAGTAATTCCGCACCAGCATTATCAATTTTGTTTGGCCTGAGTTTCATTGCCTTTTGGTGCAGTGGATAAATCACTGGGTTTGGAACTAGAAGACTCATCTTTATGAATTCAAATCTAGCCTTAAACACTTAGTAGCTGTGTGACCCTGGGCAAGTCATTTAACCTTGTTTGACTCAGTTCCTCATCTGTAAAATGAGCTAGAGAAGGAGATGGAAAACCACTCCAATATCTTTGCCAAAATCCTAAATGGGGTTACAAAGAGTTAGAAGTGACTGAAACAACTCAACAACAAACAACAGTTGATTTTACATACTGTTCTTTTGCCTTTTCCTTCTTCACTTTGAATCACTTCATACATATCTTCTTATTTTTCTCTGAATTCTCTAATACTTACCATTATTTATGATCCAGTAATATTACATCCACATACCTTAGTTTGTTCAGGCATTTCTCCTCAATAGGATCGTAGATTTAGAGCTGAAGGGAATTTAGGGGTCACCTAGTTCTGACATCCTTGTTTTCAGATGAGGAACTGAGGCCCAGAGAGGTTAAGTGATTCTCCTGGGACGATGCAAGCAGAAAGTAGCAGAGCCAGGATTTGACTCCCAATGTTCTTTCGCCTGTACTAGGCGAAGGCTTTTTTGGGAGCCTTAAAAAAATAATCCTATTGCGAATCTTTTTGTACATATTGTTTTTTTCTTGTTGTTATTATCCACTCTGAGGTATAAATATAGTTATGGGATCTCTGGTTAGAAGTAGCATGAACAGCTTGGTAACTTTCTTTCATAATTCCAAATTATTTATCAGAATGATTAGACCAATTCACAGCTTGACCAGTAGTGAATTAGTGTGCTTCTCTTCAAGACTGAATTTCCCCCCTTTGCCAGTTTGGTATATGTAGGGTGATACCTTTGTGTTATTTTAATTTGCCTTTCTCTGTGATTTTGAACATTCTAGATGACTACTGCGAGTTTGTATTTCATTTTTTGAGAACTATTCATTCATCTTCTTTGACTACTTAGCTATTTGGGACTATTATCATTACTTTCTACTCCTGTATTCCAAAACTCATTATTTTTAGATGCTTCTTCTTTTGTTGGTCTATTTTTGCTACTAGGTAATTCCTTCACTCTGGCTGTTCCCTGTTGTGCCACAGTATTTTACTTTAAATGTAATTAAGCCTCAGGAAGAATTTAAATTTATGAGTAAAGGGAAATATCAGAGGAGGAATTTCCATTGATTGATTGCCCTACAATTATAACTGGGAAAGAATATCATTCCCTAGATATTTAGACAGCTTCTTAACCAGTACTTAAAAAAATAAAAAAATCCTTTCTTTAAATATTCATCTAACATAGATTTTCCCTCCTTTTAATGCCCTCATCAAGGATGCCCTTGATGCAGATTATTTTCATAAAAATTTTATATAGTTGGGAAAGTAGGCATATAGGTCACTAGTTATTGATATTCGTTCTCTTGATTGCTTTTTGTTTGTGATAACATGGTCCAAGATTTTTTCCACGTCTTTGGTGTCTTCAGATACCTGGAGAGTAAAGAAAGAGAGTGATGCATAGTAAGCCTGGAAAGATAGCTTGGAGACAGGCTGTGAAAGGCTTAAAAGCCAAACAGGAAGAATTGGTATTTTATATTAGAGGGAAGAGAGAATCATTAGAGTTTATTTAGTTGGGGAATGATTTGGTCATATTTGCATTTAAGGAAATCACCTTGGTAGATGGATGGCAGACGGATTGGAATGTCGAGAGATTTGACGTTAGGAGACCAATTAGGAGGCCATTTTTATAATCTTGTTGAGAGGTGATGAGGTGGTGGCTACGTGAGTAGAGAAGGAGTCAGATGTTAAAGATGTTATGGAGGTAGAAATGGCAAAATTTGGCAAGTAATTGAATATTTGAGATGAAGGAAAGTGAGGAGTTGAGGACAACATGGAGATTGTTAACCTGGGAGAATGGAGGAATGGTGTTCTGTTATGAACTTATCATAATGTTAATATGTAAAATATGAGAATGTGTTAAATTTGAGATCTCTCTGGGATGTCTAGTTTAGAATGTCCAATAATCAATTGGTTATATAAGACAGAAGCTCAAGAAAGAGACTGGGGTTGAATATAGTGATCTATGAGTCATGCATGAAAGATGACCGCAAGAGCTGATGAGGTCACCAAGATATAGTGTAGTGTAAAAAGAAGGTCCAGAAGAAAATCCATAGTTGATGTTATGGATAAAAAGCCAGCAAAGGAGGCTTTGAGAAGGGGTGGTTAGACAGATGGAGGAAAACTGGGAGAGAATAGTGTAAAACAAAACGAAACAAAACAAAACAGAACTGAGAGGAGAAAGCATCCTGCAAAGAGAGGGTGGTCAACAGTGTCAAATGTAGCTGAGGGCAAGATGGATGAGCACTGAGAAATACCATCAGATTTATTTTTCAGCACATTTTTCCATCCTGCCTAATTTTTCCATCTCCTTCCTTCAATGCTTCTTGTGACTGAACAGAATTAGTGTCTGCCACTTTTTATGGAAATTGGTTTTTTTTTGACAATTACTGCTGTGGGGCATCTCTACTGAGTACTCCCTGAATAGTAAGCCTCTGGGCTTAATTGTGCTTACTCTGGCAGGCATTTGGGTGTAGGATTGTTGAATGAGAACTCTTATGTATTAAAGGTTTCTGGGTTTTTCATTCTTTGGGTTTTTACCTTGTATGTTACCTTTTATGTCTTTTTAACTTGTGCATTCATCTTTAATTATGTTATATCCGGTGCATAACTCATCTCTTTTGATTTTTGGAATTGTAGAAGTTTGTAGCAAGCAACTATTTAACCGTTTTTCTGGTTACATGATCTTTGGGTCCTGCCCTCAATCTGAGAACACTTCAAACCATCTAAAGGTACAAAAACTGGTCTGGGCAATTAAATCTACCAGCAATCAGTAACTACCCCTCCTCTTCCTTAAATAACTTAGGTAATGCCACTCTTGCATACTGCCATACCAGCTGTGTAATGCAGCCCAGATGCACTGGCTTCACTGCTCACCCCAGCTGTAGTGCTGACTAAGCAAGCTGCTTCCCCTCGCCCTTGTGTTGTTGCCCTCTCTATTAATAGTGCAAACGACCTCTATAACAAACCAGATTGCCCATGTGGGGGATTTGTGTTTATCTGACTTTTCTTATAAATTGGTAGACCTAATTCATTTGGCAGTGTGGTGGTTGCTAAGAAAATTTGAAGGCTATTGGAATTAACTGAGTTCTGACAGTAATCTTAGGAGTCTCTGGGGAATTTTGTGTTAGTGGTATGCATTTTTTTTTCTATTCACATAAAAAATCACAGCGTGCTAGAACTTTAGAGCCAGAAGGATCTTAGAACTCATTTAGTCCAGGGTTTTTCAAGACTTTTTTGCTCACAACACAGTGTTCTTTACCATGAGGAACTGAGACAGGGTGGACGTTTAAATTGGCAACAAAGAATGGTACTCAGGGAATCGGGCCTCCAGATTATCTGGAGTCTTGGCATTCTCCCGCATCTCTTTTCCCTCCTTCACTCCTTCACTCTCTTTTTTCTTTACTTCTTGATCATTCACAGCAAAGAACCAGCTTTGCATCTGGATGGATAGGACTGCTATTGTCATATGATAAGTAGGAAGAGAAGGCAGCAAACCACAGCAGAGGATAGAGGCTGGAATCCTCTCATTATAGATTTAAAGCTAGAAGGGAACACGAAGACTGTCCATTCCATTCCCTTCATTTTACAGATGAGGAAACTGGGTCCCAGGGAAATTACATGCCATATTCGACTTCTTGTTGTTCATTAGTGGTGCCATTTGAACTCAGGTCCTCTAATTCCAGAGCCTGTGCTCAAATATGGGAATCTAGGGCTTGGGAAGGAGTTTTGTGGCACACCTAGCAACTTGGTAACAAGGGTGTGCCACAGCTCTCTCTTTGGGAACCACTGATCTAGTCCAGTCCTTTCATTTTATAGAAGTGGTAACAGGCCTAGACTGTCCAAGTTCATGGTTCCATGATGGATTAGAGCTGAAAGAGAGCAGAACCCATGTCTCCTGACTCTCATGCTACTACGCCACACTTCCTTCCCACTGGAATGTGCTTATTTTACTGAACTTAAAACAGTAAATTCATTTAAAAAAACAGTAGATTTAAAATATGCATTCAAGTGGAGTAAAGTAAAAGTGGGAGT